AGCAAATTAGCACACAGATAATAAAGGAGTTAACCAAACAGATGGGAGAGCTGAGTGACATAGCGTGTGTAGTGAGATAAGAACCCGATATCTCTTTTAAGCCCTGGGGGTTCCATTGTTGAGTGTTGTAATAACTGGTAATTCAGCAATCTCACATTCCAGTCTGTTTCTGAAATTCCTTTGCAATAAAACAGCTACTTTGAGGTCCCTCATTAAGTGTCCTGGGAGGCTGAAATGTTTTCCTACAGGTTTCTCAGTTTTGTGATTCTTGATGTCAGATTTGTATCCATTTATCCTTTGGTGTAGGGTTTGGCCTGTTTGCCCTATGAAGGGCACTGTAGGCATTGAATGGCATATATAATGTTAGAAGATGAGTAAGTGAATGAGCCTGAGATGGTGTAGTTGATGTTAGGTCCAGTGATTATGTTATCTGGGTATATGTGGCAGCAAAGTTCGCATCTAGGTTTATTGCAAGCTCTGGCACCAGTGTCCATGTTCATAAGAACATAAGAAACGCCAATGTTGGATCAGGCCAAAGGCCCATCCTGTCCAACACTCTGTGTCACACAGTGGCCAGAAATACCAGTGCCATCAGGAGGTCCACCAGTGGGGCCAGGACATTAGAAGCCCTCCCACTGTTGACCCCCCCCCCCCAAGCACCAAGAAGACAGAGCATCACTTGCCCCAGAGCCCCTAGCTATACACTTGTGGCTAATAGCCACTGATGGACCTCTGCTCCATATGCTTATCTAATTCCCTTTTGAAGCCGTCCATGCTTGTAGCCGCCACCACTTCCTGTGGCAGTGAATTCCATGTGTTAATCACTCTTTGGGTGAAGAAGTACTTCCTTTTATCCGTTCTAACCCGACCGCTCAGCAATTTCATGGAGTGCCCACGGGTTCTTGTATTGTGAGAAAGGGAGAAAAGTACCTCTTTCTCTACCTGCTCTTTCCCATGCATAATCTTATAAACCTCGATCATGTCACCCCTCAGTCGTCATTTCTCCAAGCTAAAGAGCCCTAAGCGCTTAAACCTTTCCTCATAGGGAAAGTGTTCCAACCCTTTTATCATTCGAGTTGCCCTTTTCTGCACTTTTTCCAAAGCGATAATACCCTTTTTAAGGTGTGGTGACCAGAACTGCACACAGTATTCCAAATGAGGTCTGACCATTGATTTATATAGGGGCATTATGATATTGGCTGATCAGTTTTCAATTCCCTTCCTAATAATCCCCAGCATAGCATTGGCCTTTTTTATTGCAGTCACACACTGTCTCGACATTTTCAGTGAGTTATCTACTACAACTCCAAGATCTCTCTCTTGATCAGTCTCTGCCAGTTCAGACCCCATCAATGTGTATTTATATTTAGGATTTTTGGCTCCAATGTGCATCACCTTGCACTTGGCCACATTGAACCCCATTTGCCATGTTGACGCCCACTTGCCCATCCTTGACAGATCCCTTTGGAGTGCCTCACAATCCTCACTGGTTTTTACCACCCTGAACAACTTTGTATCATCCGCAAATTTAGCCAGTATACTGCTTACTCCCAACTCCCAACTCCAAATCATTAATGAACAAGTTAAAAAGCAGTGGACCAAGTACTGATCTCTGCGGTACCCCACTGCTTACCACCCTCCACTGAGAAAATTGCCCATTTATACTCACTCTCTGTTTTCTATTAATTAGCCAGTTGTATTATTTAGGGTGAGGAGTTGTTTGAAATTGGGGGCTGTCTGTGTGCAAGGAAAGGTTTTCTCTCCAGTCCTTGTAAAAGAGAACTGCCATTATTGAGTAGAGGTTGTAAGTCACTGGTGATGCATTTGAACTGTTTTGAGTTGAGAGCTGTTATGTGGCCACTAGTGGTGTTCTGTTACTGTCCCTTTTAGGCCTGTCTTGCAACAGGTTTTTTCTGTTCCAATCCTACAGACAGAGATTCTCACCTGAGGGATCTACAACAAACCTTTTTAGAACTAAAATATCTACCTTATGAAGTCAAGAAAAAGATTAACAAAGCGAGAATGGTAGCCAGAGAAAAAGTCAGCTGGAGATCTCCTGCGAATTTGGTGTCTCTAGCACGTCGGGGGCTGTTATACCACCTCATGAACCGGTTTGCAAGATGGCTAAAACTTCTTGACAGTACATGGTTCGTGACCGGGGCATGTCATGAACCACAAACCAACTGCATTTTTCTCGTTCGTGCCCATCTCTACCAGGATTACGTATGTAAATGACATCATCACAACTGACTTATGGCAGACCCAGTAAGTGGCTTTCAAGGCAAGCAAGAAGCAGAGGAGGAATGTTCCCGCTAAGCTGTAGAGTCTTGTGAGCAAAAATTCGACTTCGTGAGGTACTGGCATTAAAGTTGTGAGCAAGCAGTTTGGCTACTGCATCAATTAGTTTGCTCTGGAGCCATCCTTCCTGAGCTAAGACAAAAATGTGTGAGCCGGAGGCTAAAAAACTGTGAGCTAGCGCACACTAACTCAGCTTAGAGGGAACACTGATTGCTATTGCTTTCCTCTGCAGAGTTTTCCTTGGTGGTCTCACATCTAAGTACTGACCCTGCTTCACGTCTGAGATCTGATGAGACTGGGGTATACCATGTCACTTTCCCTTCTGTAAACCAATATCAAGTACAAAACCCCAAACCTGGCTAGAAGTTGGTCTGTTGTGAGGTTAATGTCTTTAAAAAGGTGCACATGGTTGGTGAGGAGTTTTCTGGTAAGCTATCTGATAATCTATTCTGGGAATTGGGGAGAGTCTCCATGTAGATTCCCTGTATTCCTTTAGCAATCGTCGTTATTTCAAATTTATTTCGTTAATGTAACAATTAAGTTTTGTATAAGGTAGTATTGAAGTCTGCTTTGGAGTATAGGTATTTCAGCTTGTTGATGTTTTGTTGATGTTCTGTTACTAGTTGATGTTTTCTCACTGACTGATGTTATTTTTGAATATTTTTCTTAATAATAATAATAAGAAGAAGAAAACAGAGTCTCCAGAAGTAGGTAAAATATCTGTGTCCTGTTTAGAGAGAGGTTTTGTAATACAAAAATTCACAAATAGTGACAGATTTCCAGTATGAATAAACCTCCTGTATTTTGTCTTCATATCTGACTTCTGGGTAAGATTGTGTGGGATGTTACTGGTGTGCAGATACTAGATAATGATACCAAGCTATAGTGAAAAGGGATTGAAAGTGTTCCGCACAATGAGTGACTGTGACTACAAAGGAACGAAATAATTAGAATCATACAGTTGGAAGGGGCCTCCAGGGTCATCTAGTCCTACCCCCTGCACAATGCAGGAAATTCACAAATACCTCCCCCTCCATACCCACAGTGATTGCTGTTCCACGCCCAGAAGATGACAAAAAAACCTCATGGATCCCTGGCCAAACTGGCCTAGAGAAAAATTGCTTCCTGATTGCTGCCCATTTAAACCCGTAACAGTATGATTTCCATGGTACAGTTTTCCATCCTGAATTATGCACTGGTGGCTAGCCCAGAATTCAAATAGAATAAGTTCCTTGGGGGCAGGGATGTACTTTTTTGTTATGTCATTCTGTGAATTGCCATACACACTGATGGTGCTGTATAATAGAAGTAAAGAGGTGTCCTCTTAAGCCATAATAAATTTGGTCAGTCTCTTTCTAGTCAGTCACATAATGGTTAATAACTTCAGCAGTTAGAATGAAGGGGGCACTTTTAATTCCCTTTACTTAACACCATTTTTGGTGTTTCAAGGAGCTAAATAATCAATATGAAGCTAAACTGTAGGAGAAGAAAAACACTGATGAGCTTTGTTGGATGGACACGATATTGCCTTTCATGGGCAGGGTATCAACAGAAAGGACACCGTCCATGCAAGTCTGAATAAATGTGTTCTTTCCTTTCAGTTTCACAGCTTCCTATTATTGTTGTTTGCCTTTTGTTTGTAGCAGATTGTCCTCCTTTGTGGCATTTTTTCCTCCTTCGATAGCTGCTGGAGCCGTTTGTTCTTTTTGTCAGTTTTGTTACCTTTTTTAAAAAAGTTGCTATTTATAAGAGGCTGTTCATGTGTGTGATTCCCAAGGCTTCTCTATGGACACTGCAGCAATTTAAATAGAAAAGTTGACACACAATTAAAAAAAAAGATCCAAGCAGAGTTCGTTTTGTTTCAATGGATTGATCTTGTTGGGTGTTTCTGCTTGATCTGTGAAATGGGAAGAATTTGATACCATGGAAGCCTGTGTGCTTTTGGCACCAGAAGCTTGAAAGAGGATGAAACGCATACTTTTTTTACTGCAGACTTTTGAAATGCACTGAGTGATGGCATCTCCTTAAAAGTGTATGCTATGGAAACAAATGAATACTGCAACACTCAACGGTGAAGTCTGTAAATGAAAGAAACTACCAGCATTTTAGGGCTGGCACAGAAGTAGTGAAGAAGGACTTGAGGGGGAGAGCAGAGTTTTAAGTCTCAGTGGCTTTGCCAGATGCTGAAATCTCCACGTACAGTCCTGAACATGCCTATGCCAGTGAAAAATTAAAGTTAGATGTTGATCAAGAGAAGCAGCCAATCCCTGTAATTTTAACTGTGCTTTCTACCTTCACAGTCTGCACTGTTACTGAGGTATTGGCATCACTGGGAAACATTCTCTGTTCCATCTGTTCCGCATTAACAGGAGTTGGCTTTGGGAATATGAAGCTTATTGGCACATCAGTGGTAATCTCTTCTGGGGGGTTTTAGCGTGGCAATGTTGCTACTGTTTTTCTCCAAGAGCTATTATATTAAAGGAAAATTATGTGAGTCTCAGGATTTTAAAAATTACTAGATTCCGTGTTAAGTAAATTCTTCCTTTCCTGGCATAGTTCCTGTTACATATGCATTGAAATTAGTTACTGGAGGGTGGTGGAAATAGGCAGTCTTCTTTAATCCAATCCGTGGTGGCTCCAGTTTGAGCTTAGTTATAGCCAATAATGCTCCAAACATCTTAGAAGAATCTTTTTATATTTAAAAAGTAATATTGCAACTTCAAAAATAAACATTGGCAATTCCAAACAAAGAGAATCATTAATAGCCCATTCATTCAAAGGCTTTCCAGCCAGCTGCAATTAAGGCTCTTTCCGGCTGATTTCTAAAAAAAAAAAAAAATTGATTGTAAGCAACAAAATTGTGCTATTACTGGCACTGTCTCAGTACTATAATGCAACCAGCCATCAAATTAAAAAAAAAATTAAAGATTCCTGATATAGTGGGGTGGGGAGGGGTATTCTTTCCTGCTTTTATAGCTTTTTCTTTTTTAAACAAGTGCTCAAATGCCGAGGTAGCATATTGGGACAATGACAAGTCATTTCAAAATTAGTTAAAAAAAATGATGGGAGCAAAGTTAGGAATGCTGCATGTATTGTCCAATAAGTGCTTATGGCTGTCATAATCACATTCTGCACAGCAGTAGCATTAGATGCTGTGCTGGGGGAGAGAACATATTAACAATCAGTAGCACAACATTCTGTTTTCAGTGCTAGGAAAATGAGGTGTTCCTATGACACAAGCATTTCCACAAGTGAAGACATTTGAATCCTACCCAACAAATTAGCAACAATTATACTATTGGTGAGTTCTAAACTGATTATCTGAAAGGTCCTGCCTCTTATTCTTTCAAACATACAGATAGTGAAACTTTATTCCTTTTTCCAACCGTGAAAGTGATAATCGCTTAACTTGCATGAATTACATTGGGCTGTTTCCAGCCATTCCATACTGCCAAATTTGAAACCCTCTCTAACTTAAGAGGTTCTTCCTCCAACAGAAGAGTTGCTTGTTGAATGAGATACATCAGACTAGAGGAAGGCTTCAGTCTTTGCTGAACATGCTGGCTGGATATACCCCATCATTTGCCTTTTCTCAACAATTCACGAATGGGGAGTATGAAGATTTGCATGGAGAGTGTGTGACAGTGTAACATTTGCAGTAGAATTTCCCTCTCCTTTCCCGCTTAAGTGACTGGACAGGGAAAGGATGCCTTGAAGCTGCCATGGCTTTTAAAGCAGCTCTTTTTTCTTATTCATTTAGTGCATTCCAGGACCTCATGAAGATTCTTTCCTTTGCTCTTCTCTCTCCCCCCACCCAGAAGTGCCAGTATCTAAGCCACGGCTTCTGGCCTGGGAGTGGGTGGCATTAGTGCCTTGCTTTTCCACCTGTCTTCTTCCTCCTGCTCATCTTCCTCCTGCTCATCTTCCTCCTGTATCTCTTCATCAGCCGGTCCCCGGATTTGTACAGGTTCATTTGGTGGCGGTTTGTATCCATTTTCTGTATCTCTAAATATTTGGTACAGAAGTCAATTTCAGTTAGTTATGGCTTTTTATTAAACACTTATGGGCAGTGACTCAGCACAATAGAATTGAAACTCAGTCATTATTTCAGAGTTTTTGCAGTCTGAACTAAATCCTGTGCTGAAATGTGACAGTTTGGTGTGTGTGGGGGAATTGGGGGATGGGTATTTCAATGGTGTTTTTGATTCTAGAGCCAGTTTACTGGTCCTTCATATAAACAATTGTCTGAGGGCATCTTTAATATGCAGTATTCCCAGTAAAGGGGGGGGGGGCTATTTACACTCTTGTGCATTTCTTATTTACATCCATTCTTGAACAACTGTTTATAAAAGACAAGAGATACTGTTAAGTAAAGCTTGAATGAATTGTTAACCAACATGGCCTTCATTGTATAGGTTTCATTGTTTGTAGAACTACACGTGTATTATTTATTGCAGTTTTTTCTTTATTCTTGATTATAGTTTGGATCCAGCTGAACATTTCTGCAGGTGGAAAGGATTTCCCTGTAGCCCAAAAGGCCCCTCAGAGTGCTGTTTCCGTTTCCCAAGAGCAGCAAGAGGGGGAGATGAGCAAGTTGTGCTCCATGGGTGGCCGTCCTGACTGCCTGCAGGAATTTTCATCTGGATCCAAGTGCAGGATTGGTTTTGCTCTCATCTAAACATTCTGTAAATTTCAATTCTTACCATTTTGATATCTGTCATTTAACAGGTATACCTTTGGCATAAAATACTGCATAAACATATCACAGCCATGACTTGCAAAGGGGCAAAGCAAAGAATTAGTTGGTGTGGTTTCTTTGAAAATCTATCTCTAATGTGAGAATTATTCCTGCATTTATGAAAACTATCACATAAACAGATCAATGAAGTCCCAAAATTACTTTCACATTTCATTGATCTGTCTAAAGATAACAGTTGCATGTTACTACTTCCACATCTGAAGACTGAGTAATCATTGCATATGTGCAAAAGTAGATACTAAATTTTCTTCAGGTTTGTGCCAATGCAGCAACATATGAACTGGCTTTTAGTCAATGGACTAGGGAAACAGTTCATACGCCAGTATGGTACACAGAGAGAGATGACTCTGAAACACTGGGTAAAGGAAATACTAAAAACCGTAAGTTTTTAGTTTATTCTCCAGAACCCCATACTATACTAAGGCAAGAGCTGGAAAGACTGAACATATGGCACAGCCTTAGTCAGACCATTGGCTTGTCTACCTAAGTGCTGTCTACTCTGTCCAGCAGCATCTCCAGAGGTCTTTCACATACCCTAGAATCAACCCAATCTTTGTAATGAAAGATATCAGAGATTTAACTTGGGAGCTCTTGCATGCAAAGCCTATCTACGGTATTCACCTATCTACAGCAAGAACTCTAGCTCTTTCATCATTAACTCTTTCTTGTAATCTGTTTCTGAAGACTGTAGCTTTATCTCACACTAGTAACTTTTGAGTGGAGTATGCTATCCTTGAAAGAATGCCATGTGGACTTACTACCGTAGTATACAGCATGAACTGCTACACAGAGCTACCATAACATTAGGTAAAGGTAAAGGTTCCCTTGCTCGAAAGCCAGTCGAATCCGACTCTAGGGTTGTGGTGCTCATCTCCGTTTCAAAGCCAGCGCTGTCCGAAGAAATTTCCGTTGTCATGTGGCCGGCATGACTAAACACCAAGGCGCATGGAACGCTGTTACCTTCCCACTGAAGTGGTACCTATTTATCTACTTGCAATTTCTTGCTTTCGAACTGCTAGGTTGGCAGAAGCTGGAACTAGAGATGGGAGCTCACTCCATCATGCGGCAACTTGGGTCTCGAACTGCTGAACTACTGACCTTCCACAGCCTGCAGTTCAGCGTCTTAACCACTTGAGCCACCGCAGGTCCACCATAACATTACCTCATCTTAAATCTACATGCTTAAGGATATGTTGTAAGTACTTCCTACATTATGGTTGATGGAACAATGAAGGAAAGGGGATTGGTACATATAATATGTGAGCACATTTGGCCTCACCACCCAAGTATTGGGATAGTAAGGTAAATACTGGGCACATTCCAACTGAGGAGAAAGATGCCTTCCTTGCTGTGCAAATAGGTTGTTAAATATTGGAAAAGTCAATGTCTGGTGTACAAACAAGAAGAGAAGAAGACCCTGCAGGGGGCAGCAAGAAGACATTTAGGATAGTGAGGTCAGTACTTTCTCTCTTTTTAAGAGTAATTCTGTGTCTGTCTCCAGATTGCTACTCTCAGGACAATTTCACCCTTCTTGGAAGTGCCGCACTCAATCTTACTCTCTCTTTCAGCTGGAGATGTAGTTAGAAATCTATCTCTGTCTCTCCTCTTACCTATCAGACAGGGGTCATTTTGTAGAAAAAGAGGTGCAGGAGCTCATTAGCATAACTTATTTGCATATGCCACACCCCCTGACATTGTCAGAAGGTGAGAGAGCTTCTACCTGAATAAGCCTTGGTCTTAAAGGTGCCACTGGACTCTGTGCATTGCTACCTATGGGGGGGGACACACACACGCAGATCTGCCCTCACAGAGAGCTTCTACCTGAATAAGCCTTGGTCTTAAAGGTGCCACTGGGCTCTTTGCATTGCTACCTATGGGGGGGGGGCATGCAGATCTGCCCTCACAGAGATCTTCTGCCTAAATAAGCCTTGGTCTTAAAGGTGCCACTGGACTCTGCATTGCTACCTATGCGGGGGGGACATGCAGATTGGAAGGGCTTTGCCGGGCTCCGCACTTTAGCGCAGGCCTGGCAAGAAGGGGTTGGGGGTTGGGAAGGGCTTTCCAGGGCCTGGAAAGGTGGGGGGGGAATCCACAACTTACCTTCTTCTTTCTCCTCCCAGCCGACTGAGGGGAGGGCTGCTGGGAGCAGGGGGTGGGGCTTGCTACATGTCCCCACCCCCTGGCTTCCTCTCTCCCGGAGCGTTGGTCCGGTGAGCTCTGGGCCGAAATGAGGCCTGCTATCAGGTATATTAATTCCTAAAGAAACCTTTATCTACTCTTTAATCAGGCTGTGCACCATTGCTGTGTTAATTACTCTGCCAACATTAAAGCCCTAATTACTTCAATGATTTTTAAGTAGCCAAGCCAAGAGGAGGACTGCAACTAGTCTTTTATTTCCAGCAATAGGAAGTGAAATGTGTGCCTTGAACATATTACTCATCTCGAATAAGCACTCTTTCTTTGCTGTTTTTTCCCCACCCACATTTCCAAGTGAAAGACACTCACGTCATCTCATAGTCCTTATCCTTCCGCTCCCTACAGCAGCAACAGTAAGCTATAATGCCAATGACAATTATTGCAGCAACAATACCGCCAATGATTCCAGCATAAAGGCCAATGTTCATGGATGCTGCAGAGAGAGAAAAAAGATTAGCACTTACTTTACAGATCGTAAACACAAACCAACTCCCCCTTTGGAAAGATGCTAGAAGAGCAAGCGACCTCTTTCACTTCTAGTCCTCTGTATTTGGGTGGTGGTGGTGGCAACTCATAGCATGATAGAACTGGCTTTAAACCAACAGTCAGTCAGAATAGGGAAACACCTAGGTGATTGGACAACATGGTTTCTTCAGAGAGCCATGCACTTTGGGTAGGTTGTCATATAGAAGGGCTGTCATATAGAGGACTAGCCTGATACCCATGCTTCGCTACAGTATTTAAGTTCCGTAAATCCAGTTATAGTACTGATGATGTGAAGTTTGAAAGGTAACATTTGTGGTAGGAATTCTAATGGAGAAGACTGTAATGTAAAGGATGAAGTGAGAGATACGTACTTTTTTTCTCTCTACCAAAGGACCTCTCTGTAGACCACAGTGGTGGCTCTGCCCTTAGGTGCTAGGATCACCAGTCTGCTTGGTGAGCTTACTCTGGAGCAGGCTCCTAGAAAGGTCCTTTACTATCTCCCCATAAACGTTCATAAACTCAATTGCCATGCTGGCTGTTATGAGAAATATCCATTCAGGAGTCTTGAATCGCTTTGTGTAACTGTCCTCAACTGTCTGCAGTCTCTTCTAACTGTGTTTTTACCTCAGAACATTTACATCCACAGCTGAGCAATCAGGGAGGTGGGTTCAAGCAGGTAGGTTTTACCTCAGAACTCTGAGCTACACGGTTGACCAATGGGGGGGGGGGGGCAAAGAGGCAGCAGCCTGCCAGGCACATGGAAAACAATTGGGGGAACACATTTTGCCCCTTTTTTACCCCCTTAGGGGTCGTGTTTCTCAGTAATCTCTTTGTACTGGGGGTTGACGTCATGGTAGGAATGCACTCCTGTTATTTTGGATTCCTTGGTGCAGGGGCTTGGCCTCTGCGGGGGGGGGGGGTTTGCAGGGCATACTCTTTTTTTTTTTTTACAAAAATGCTTCTCATTCATGTTACATTTAAGAAGTGGGGAATAACTACGTATTCAAAACAACATCCAAGCAATCAGAATCGAGCAAGTTCATATGAACCAATTTTCTAGAACCCACATTGTGAGAAGTTAAATAACCAAATACAGGAAACCACTTTTCTACAAATTTGGGGTATATTTCCATTGTGGGTGGGAGTGTGGCTAAGCTGGGCCAGCAGCATTGCTAAGGTGATCCTACTGGGGCGGCCTCCCTGATGCATTAAAATACTCTGGCCCTGCTCCTACACCTGACAAACACCCACCTGTCTGGTGTAAGGGGGGGGGGAGGATTGTGTTTAAAGGCGTCATGGAGGCTGGGCCAGCAGCAGCGCTAAGGCAATCCTGCTGAGCAAGCTTCCCTGACAGCTGTAAGCATCCCACCCCTCTCTTACACCTGACAGGCAGCTGCCTGTCCAGTGTAGGAGGGGAGAGGGAGGAGTATTGCAAGCCATTGTGGAGGCTGGGCCAGCTCCCTGATGGCTAAGCACCCTGTAACCACTGCTTCACCTGACAGACAACCGCCTGTCAGGTGTAGGAGGTGGGGGGACATGTTTGAAGCCATGGGGAGGTTGGGCCAGGAGCATTACTGCACCTCACAGGCGGTTGGCCATTCCTGATTTCCTCAATTGTCATTAGCTCTCTGCAGTCTCCTGTAGCTGTTTTTTTTTTTTACCTCAGAACACTGAGCTCTGCAGCTGACCAATCAGAAGGGGGGGGTGCCAGGGCCGGTGCCAGGCTTTTTTGCGCCCTAGGAAAGGCTAACTAGTTGCGCACCCCCACACACACACTCCGAACCAATTTTCATAAACAGATGAATTGTAGGAAAAATGAAAAGCGCAAAACTTGAAATTGCTAATTTTTTAAAAAAACTCCAACGAGGGCGAGGGCTGGTCGGTTTGGGAGGCCCCAGCTGGATGACAGGCACAACCAGCATCAGGGGCTCTACTTGGCCTCTCAGGCTACCACAAGGGCGGCTTCTCTTCACTGGGGATGGGCGGGCCCACATGAGGCCTCCCTCCCCCGCTCACCCAGGCGCAGCTTTTCTCTCGCCCGTGCTCTTCCTGCGCTCTCTCTGTGGTGCCTCCCCCATCCCCCCCGCCACTACTCCCACCATGCGTGAAACTGCCTGGCTGCGGAGGCCGCTCTTGCAGGGCCCCGACAGGAAGCTGCCACCTTCGACTGAGTCAGGCCAAGTCAGCATCGTCTGGGCAGACTGGCAGCGGCTCCGCAAGTGTTTTCCATCGCCTGCTAGCTGGTGGCCAGGGACTGAACCCAGGACCTGCTCCACAGGCCAAAGAAAGCCATGGCCCCTCCCCTCAAGGGAGCGGAGTGGAGTGGTGGAGGAAGCAACCTTCCTCTCAGGCCAAATCTTCCCATGACTTCTTGTCCGCATATTGCAAGGGATAAGAAAGTCAGTGCCGCTGACGGAGGGCCCCCTGGTGGCAGAAATAGCCAGCTAGAAGCCTCACCACAGAGCTGATGCCAAGCAGAAGTGACACGTCTGTGCATCAGTGAGCAGTGTCAGCAAAGCATATGCATCTGCAGGACACATCAAGTGATGCAACACTCCATCCTGGTTTCAGCAGCCGCGGCCCAGCGGGAGAGACCACCCACCCGACTAAGGTGTTGTCCCACCCACGTTGTGAATTGTTTTGTGCCAAGCTGCCCTATTTATTGCCCACCCAGAAAAGGCTTCTTCCGTTTCTCACGGTGGGCGGAAGGAGTCTTTACAGTTCATCTGCAAGGCCACCCTGCCCTGCTTCAGGATCCACTGGCTGACCCACGGCAGCTGGAACAGCTTTGGATTTCAAGACCTGCCCTGTTGAAAGGTTTTACTTGGGGTGGGTGGCCGTGTGGCCTGAAGCAGCAGAACAAAGTCAGAGTCTCCTCCAGGTGCCTTTTAAGACCAACCGCGTTTTATTTTGGGTATAAGCATTTGTGTGCATGCACACTTCAGCAGCTACACTGAAATGTTCTTCAGATACATATACCTAAGGCTCAAAGAAGTCTGTTTTAATATATCTGCACATGAACGTTTGTATCCAGAGTTAAACTTGGCTGGTCTTAAAGGTGCCACTCTGAACTCAGAAATTCTCAGTCAAAGGGGGTTCGCTTTTGCAATCAGTTTACTGGCTGGGTGGTTCTCGGATATCTGAGTCCCCACAAGAAAGGTGGACTACTGCAAAGGGAAAGAACCGTACATCGTCCAGGAGGGGGAAGAAGGGCCCTCACGCTCCCCCCACCCTTCACTTCCCACCTGGATCCGGGCTCGTTTTCTCCGCCAGCAAAACAGCGTGCCCCAGAAGAAACTGGGAGGCAGGAGGGAGGGCTGTGTGTCTGTCACAGTTGCAGTCCATTCCCTGCCATTGGCAATGAGCCTGCCAAGAAGGGCAGGGGAGGGTCCCTGCCAGCTGTCCCTCCCTGTGCATGGCACCGGGGCTCCTCATGGGGCAGAGGTCACAGCCGAGGGATCCAATCCCTTCCTCCTCTTTCCCCGGTGTTCTCCCTCACAGTCACAGACGCCCAGTCTGCTGCTGGTGCTCCCGAGAGCTGGCCACTTGCCGAGGAGCCAAGGAACCCTACCTTGCAGCATCTCTTTATCAGCTTCACAGCAGCCACCCTAATGCTGATGATTGTCAGTTCTGTGCTCCTCTGAGGTCTGCGCCCTAGGCAGCCGCCTAACTTGGCCTAATGATAGCACCAGCCCTGGGGTGCAAGGAGGCAATGGAGGAGCACGTTTTACCCCTTTTGACCCCCTTTGGGGTCGAATTTTTTTAAATCCCTTCGTAGTGAGCATCTACATCACGGTAGGAGTGCTTTCTCCAAATTTTCTGTTTCTGTGTCCAGGGGTTTGGCCTGGACATTGATTTTATGGTGAGGGGACTTTCTTTTATATATATAGATGGTGTGGAATTGTTTTTTGTAGCCCCAGAAGGTTGGACCAGAACCAACAGGTTGAAATTAAATCAGAAGAGGTACAACTTTAGGAAGAACTCCCTGACAGAACAGTTCCTCAGTGGAACAGACTTCCTTGGGAGGTGGTGGGCTCTCCTCCTTTGGAGGTTTTAAAAAAGAGGCTAGATGGCCATCTGATGGCAAAGCTGATTCTCTGAACTTAGGCAGATCATGAGAGCAGAAGTTTGAATTTATACCCCACCCTTCACTACTGAAGGAGTCTCAGAGTGGCTTACAATCTCCTTTCCTTTCCCTGCCCCACAACGGACACCCTGTGAGGAAGGTGGGGCTGAGAGAGCTCTTTCAAGGACTGCTCTTGAGAGAACAGCTCCGAGAGAACTGTGACTGACCCAAGGTCACACCAGCAGCTGTATGTGGAGGAGTGGGGAATCAAACCTGGTTCTCACAGATTAGAGTCCACACTCCTAATCACTACACCAAAGAGGGAGGGAAGGAGGGGTTGCATCAGTGCTTAGTTCTCATGGCCCTTTCTTACACGCCCAGAGAAATGCTGATTGCCACTTTGGAGTCAGGAAGTAATTTTTCTCCAGGCCAGTTTGGCCAGGGGTCCTGGAGATTTTTTGTCATCCTCTGGGCGTGGAACAGGGGGTCACTGGGGGGGGGGGTTAGATATTTGTGAATTTCCTGCGTTGTGCAGGTGGTTGGATTAGATAACCCTTGAGGTCCCTTCCAACTCTGTGATTCCATGAAAATAGTATTCTTGCTTGAGAGCCACCTGTCAGTCTCAGGCTGTGGGCCAAAACAGATGCAACAGAGGTTACTTATCTCCATCAGTCTGCAAAACGTTAATTGCACTAATGCACAACTACAATTCACACTAGTGCCATGTGGGAAAGGGAGAGGGCATATAACCCTTCTGTGCCCACTCAGTTTCATATACTGAAATTTGGATGTGTCCTTTTAAAACTGGAGAGCCTGACTTTGATTTGTAAAACTGAACAAAGAGTGAATGGTTAAATTCCCTCCTTCCTTCCCATGCAGCCTTGCTCTGAATTGTGGTTCTATGCAAGCAACTGACTTTTCACAGGCTGATGGAAAGCCATGATCACACTGTACATCCATTTTGGCCATCATCAGCTAGAACCTTGCAATTAAGTAAAGTGACAAAACCGTTATCAGAGTGATAAATATGGGTATGAGGGGACTTCAAGCTTTTTGTCTTGTCATTTAGCTGCTTAGTCTCTTACGAGGTGAAATGGAAACAGTCATGTTACAGGAATTCTTTCCAACAGAGTTGGTGGAAGTGCAGATATAGAAGCCAGAGGTGTCTGCAGAAATGTTCTTCAGAGTCAACAATCCCTCTGTAGTAAAAGAGAAACCATAAAAGATCATCAACAGACAGCAGGTGCAAGTGCATTGCTCATGTTTGTCACAAGAGCACAAAGCATGGATGATGATTTCATGCCATACATGGGAATTACATTTTACAAACTGAAAAATTTGTACAGGGACTCAGTGCTGTTATCCAGTTGCTGCATTTGTTGGCATCAGTCAGTCAAAACGTAATCCATAATTATGAGAGCAAAAATAGCCCTAATCACAGCCTGTGATTTAAGAGAACAGTTCCAGTGCTGCTATTTGGTTTATAAACTGATTTCTTGTCTCATTTTTATACATACACACTCTGTCTCTCGTCATAGTAGCTACTGAGATAGCTTTCAAACATTTATTAAGACAACAATAACTGATAACTAATCTCAGTTATGCAGAGCAACTGCATAGTTTATTGACATCCACTAATAATAAAACCAACAATAATTAAATGTTGAAGTCATTAAAATCAACATTAAAACCTGCAAAGGTGGGGTATAAAATTGCCTGATCACAACCAAGTCAAAACGAAAAATGTTGGGGGGAAATCAACAGAATAGTCAACAAAAGCCTGAGTAAAAAGATGTGTTTTTGTTTGGTGCAGTTATAGCTGCAGGAAAACTCCAGAGTTGTAGAGCTACCAAAAAAAAAGACTAAAAGCCACCAACATGCTCTCAGAAAGCAGAGAAGTAGAAGATCTTAATTGACAGACAGGCTTATATGGAAGCAAGCAGTCCTTTAAATAACTAGGTCCAAGAATGTTTAGGACTTTAAATGTAACACTTAATTTCAAAAAGCTGCTAACAGGTTAGCATTGTCACAGTTTTCCCTGCCTAATGGGGGCAAGATGCTTTAAAAACACAATTCTTTGACCAATTAAATGAGCAGCAATACAAATATAGATGTTTATGAGAAGTTACAATGAAAGGCATAAGAGCTTACTACTTTCCCAAGCATAAACCCTTCTAAGACTTGGGCCTGGTCTTTACATGTAGGAAAATGAAGCTGTAGATTCTGAGGTAGTAGAATGAATGTCAGGTTGTGGATGATGGATTCCTGTCCTTATTCACATTAACAAAAATCCTCCCTACAAATAAAAAAATAGCAGAAAGGGTTCTGGCCTGCCCTTTTGACTGCTGTGCCAAATTTCTGTTTGCCTGGTATTTTTAACATAGATGAGCACTCAAAACTGTGATTACCCGGTTGGTTGGAAGTTACAGCTTAAACATCATTTTATAATGCTGAGCCTTGATTCTCATAATACTGAGACACACTGGACACATAGAGGGCTGGATGGATGTCATGCATTTGTATGCGTGTATGTAAAGACTCATGCTCACTGACCCAAAGTGGTATTCAAAACTGTGAGGTTCTTTCACAGATAGTTACGACATCTTGAAAACCAGAAGAGTCTGAAAATGGGGAATTTGTCTACCTAAAAAATATGCAACATGAAGAAGAGAAGAAGAAGAGATTGGATTTATACCCCGCCCTTCACTACCCAAAGGTGTCTCAGTGCGGCTAACAAACTCCTTTCCCTTCCCCTCCCCACAACAGACACCCTGTGAGGTAGGTGGGGCTGAGAGAGCTCTTGACAGAAACTGCTCTTTTTCAAGAACAGCTCTTATCAGAACTACGGCTTGCCCAAGGCCATCCAGCCAGGTGCAAATGGAGGAGTGGGGAATCAAACCCTGGTTCTCCCAGATTAGAGTCCACGCACTTAACCACTACACCAAACTGGTGAAGTGTCCCTCATAACAACAACTAGTACCCCAACAAAAAATGAGCCAAACAACACATGTGTTAGCTTAAAGTGAGGTCTGAGGCCCCTTGAGATTCTGCAAGGATACACCAGGAGGTCCACAATTCAGGACAAAGGGAGAGTCCTTTGAAAAGGCAATGAGCTAATATGAAAATGGAGCGCTCTCCGCTTCTTAGTAATTGGAGAGGGAGTCGCCCCCTCAGGAGAAGGGAACAAAATTATTAACTTCCTCCTCCTATAAAGGATGGGTGCTCATAAAGTCACTATAGCTTGTGGGCACCTAGTTTCCAGATAACCTCAGAGCACTTGCCAGAAAATGCTCTTGGTTGTCAGGATCCAGTAGCTCAGACCTAGCAACTCTAAAGAGCTGAATGGCACCAAGAATGTATGGTCCTAAGAGCCATCTAATACCTTTTATTAATACCCAATACAGTCTTATTTCAGGTGTAAAACTGAACTGATTTTCATTCAGTTACAATACAAAAGATTTCACAATAGAAACAGAGATGCCACTAAGGCTATTCCCACAAGTGTTATCTGCCCCAAGTCCAATGCTTTTGAGAAGTGGGTCCATCCCCCCCCCCCGGCATCATGGTGCATTCATACACCTCTGGGGGGGTTCTCTGGCTTTTCGCCAGTCTTTCTCAAACCTGCTTTCCTCTGAAATTTTTGGAAAAATTGAACTAAAAGCCAGATGGCTACAGTGTGGTTAAAAGTGCATACAATTTTATGCTTAATTAAATCTGTTAGTCTTTAAAGTGCCACTAGGCTCCGTTTTTTTGTTCTGCAACAAGCTGCACAGGTACTGTTTCCCTCCCCCATGTCCTGTCCCTTCAATAGAGACTTTATGGGCAGCCAAAGCTTTTCAATAACATCACCAGGTAAATATCATCTAATTACGCCTTTGTTAAAGAGAGGGCTTTAACTGTTGGCAACCCTGCCCTGCAGGTCAGGGGACAGGGATTTGCAGTAACAGGAACATATGTGAATATGGAGCAGGCCATGCATATGACAGAAGGGGAAGGAATGAAGTTTCCTTTTCGCATGCATTAACCATCTTCAAAAATATGGCCATGCTTGCTGAATGCCAGCTTTACTTATGGTTGCCAACAGCCTGGAGGAAAAAAAAATCCTTTCCTTTTAAGAAAAGCTTAATAGGATATTTACCTCCATGCCATAAAAATTTCAGTGGTCTATTTTTTACATATACAGACTCTTATCAGGTTGTGAGGGGCCCTACACATAACAGGGGTCATACCCTAGATTTAACTTTTTGGATGAAGTCTTCAGATGAAGATTTGGTCAGGGACTAGAGGTATGACCTGTATCATGGTCTGACCACTACCTCCTCAAAGCGAGGGTGAATATGCGGTATCAGCACTCTGCAAGAATGAGGGACCGGTCATGTAGTCCGTCCACTGAGACTAATGGACCCAACTAGTTTCCAGCATGCCCTGGGTGATTTTCAGATTCCAGCAAGCAGCGCTATTGATGCCGTGGTGGGAGCATAGAATGAGACGTTCTTCGAAGCAATTGACCTGGTTGCTTCTTGTTGTCCCCTCCCACCCTGCAGGCAGAATCCTGCACCATGGCTTATGACGCAGCTGAGTGATCTGAAGAGGGCCAGGAGACCTCTAGAATGATGTTGGTGGAAAACTCAAAATGAGTGTCCTATAAAGCCCACTGGAAGACCAATGAGTTAGTGGTGATGCTTGCAAAGAAATTCTACTATGCTGCTACAATTGCACCAGTTAAATCACACCCAGCTCAACTTTTCAAAGTATTTTGGCACCTGCTGACCCCAAAATCTGAACCCTTGAATCCTCATAAACTTATGATTAGTTGTGAAATCTTTGCAAAGTGTTTTGTTTGTTTGGGGGGGGGGGGTGTTGCTGAAAAAAATCTCTCAAATATACTCTGATCATGTTGCTGGTTGTAATACAATAGTGACTTGGGGGGAAATGCTCATTATACCATCTGGTCTGTTTATGGATCCTTTTGATCCACTGACTACAATGGGTGTTGACAAAATCTTAGGATCTATGAAGGCCACCACTTGTAATCTGGATCCTGGCCCTTTTTGACTGTTGAAATTACGTAAGACCCACATCTATCAGGCCCTGATGTACATCGTAAACCAACTGCTAATTCATGGCACATTCCTGTTGTCCTTAAAACAGGCTGTTATCCATCCCCTACTTTAAAAATCATATCTCAAGGAAAATGATGTGGCCAACTATCGCACCGTCTCCAACTTGCCCTTCTTTGGCTAAAGGACTGAAAGAGCAGTAGCAGGACAACTTCTGGTCTTCCTGGCTAACTAATCTTCCCGAGACCCCCTTCATTCTGGCTTCAGACCAGGCTATGGGAGAGAGACAGCACTAGTGGCTTTAGCTGATTATCTCTACTTGAATCCGGACAGTGCCTCTCTGGCCCCGGTCACACGGGCCGGATATCGTGGGGGGGGAGGCGTGGCTGTTTGCCCTGGAGTGAACTACTGTGCAGCCGCCAGATCATACGTCCCGCCAACATCCCGTGGTTCGGGGGAGGGGCCGATCATACGACAATCCTGTGGCGCGGCAAAGAAGCGGCGTGGTGCGATCACAGCAGCAATGGCTAGGTGCCGCTGCCGTGGCAAACGGGGTTGTGTTTTTTAAAAAATCAAAGTGTGCGCATGCGCCGTTGGGTGCTTGTGCGCATCCTGTGGAGAGTTGGGGAAAAAACCTTTTCGCCACGGGACATGGGTGGGCGCCGGATGCCATGACCTACCACCGGAAACGCGATCAGACGCCAGCCCTTGCCCCGCGGTTTCCGGAAACTAGTACCTCAGAGGTACTAGTTTTTTACGGTGCATCTTCAGCGGGAAGCCTCGGGTTAGCCACGGGAGCTCTACGCTTCCCATATGTTGCGGTGTGATCGCGCCCAGAAAATCCACCTATCTTCCGTCTTTGTAGCGTGGCTAATGCTCCGTGTGACCGCAGCCTCTGTTACTCTTACTGGATCTATCAGCAGTATTTGACACTGTGTTCCATGCCATTTTGTTGAGGTGTTTGAAAGGAAATAGGGATTAAGTCTGCCTTGGTTTAAACCATTCCTTATGGGGAGGTCTTGGAGGATTTCTGTTGAAGACTGACTGTTGTCAGTGTGGGATGACACCCAGCTCTATCGCCTTATCCAAATCACCTGATGATTCTGTAGAGGTCCTGAATCAGTGCCTTAATGGTATGCTTAATTGGCTAAGGGTGAACAAATTGAAGCCGAATCCTGAACAGACAAAGCTAATGCTGGTTGGGAAGACTGAAACCTTGAAGGATGCTGTGCTGCCCACTTTCGATGGGGTATAGCCGATACTTCCTAGGGGTCATTCTGGACCCAGCATTACAACTGCAGAAGCAAACTAATGCAGCTACAAAAAAAGAGCATCCTATCAGCTTCATTTAGCCTGGAAGACGGCCCCCTACCTTGAGTCAGCCGATCTGGCCATGTGGATCTAGGCTGGGGTCACCTCAGGGTTAGAATGTAATGCAACCTACATAGGTCTGCCCTTAAATCAACTCAGAAACCTCATCTGGTTCAGATTGTGGCAGCCCACTTACCAGAAGGTGCTAGGCAGAACGTAGGTGTCATACCCATCCTGTAGTCACTGCATTTTGTACCAATGCAGGTTCAATTCAAGGTACTGATTATCACTGAAAAAGCACTTCATGGTCTGGTACCCACATACCTGTGGGACCGCCTCTCCTGCTGTGCTCCACCATGACAACTTTACTCTTCTGAGCACAGCCTTCTGACAGTTCCTTCCTTCAAATGGGTAAGATCAGCAACTGCCCATTCACATGTGTTCTCTGTGGTGGCTTTCACTTTGTAGAATGGCCTGCACACACTTATTTCTCTGCAAAATGTGCAAAACTGAAATGTTCAGGAGGGCATTCTAATAATGGAATCAGAACTGTATTGTTCTGGAACAGCCCATAAGGTCATTTTAATGTAGGAATAGGTCTTAAACGATTATTTGTTGATAACTATTATTGTGGTATCATCAGCAGAGGTCATTTCCTGCGGGAGTGCACAGGAGCGGAACTCCAGCAGTAAGGAGCCCAGGGGCGGGCACACGCAACAAGACCCGCCCCCTGCTCCCAGCAGCCCTCAGTTGGGCCACGAGGAGCAAGAAGCAGCCATGTAAATTGCAGAGCCCCTCCCCCCGGCCCGCCTTCAGGTACAAGCTCTCCCTCCTCTGTGAGGACAGATCTGCACATCCCCCCCCCAATAGCTAGCAATCCAAAATAGTCCAGTGGAGCCTGAGTGTTGGATGTTGCCTTCTGACACACTTCCGGTGAGGTCAGGGGGTGTGACATATGCAAATAAGTTATGCTAATAAGTTATGCTAATGAGCTCCTATACCTCTTTTTCTATGAAATGACTCCTGATCATCAGCATTGCCTTTTCCCACATTCTGAACTGCTCACATAATACCTTAGCCTTAGGCAGTTTGCTGTTCTCATTGTTGCCTGCATTGTCTTTGAATTTTGCATTCTTAGTCCTGTTGCATTGTACTTCTATTTCTTTACGTTGTAATCCACTTTGAGTCTCAGTGAGAAAAGTGGTCTATAAATAAGCTAAAATGTTAAAGGGACAGGACAGTTTTCTCAAAGCCTGTTGGCAACCCTAGCAAATGTATGTGTGTGTGCACAAACTGATAGGGACAGCATAAATTGGGAATTCTCCACTGGGATAAACTGAGCAGGCAATGTATGAAATCTCTCAGCTTTCTCATGTAATATTAGTTGGCATATAAAATTTCTTGTACCCTTTTAGAGATTGCATTTTTTCCCTAACTTCCTTATGCATTGCCGGGGAGGGGGGGGGGGATAGGGACTGTTTATTTCAGATGGAGAATAAAGGGAAATACTGTCCATCCTGAGAGGTATTGGTTATGTTAGCTATGACCAAGGCCTATTTCTGGTGCAGTGCTTCCACCTGTAGGTCAACCTGTGTACAGCAAGCACATGTTTCTTTGTGGCTGCCTTTGAAGAGTTCTCTGGACTTATCTTGACAATTAAGAGAATGTGTGTTGAAAATACATTTTAGGACACAGTGCAGAGTTCTTAATTGGAAGGAGCAGAGAAGAGGTAGCCCTCCCTGTATTTCCCTCCCATGGCGTTCTACTGATGTTCTTTGAGGGCATGGAGTTCACCTCTGCAGAGGACCACAGAATAATTCTATACATGTGCAATTGAACAAGAATAAAAGTGTCTCCAAACTTTCAGGGCGTTGTTGTGGGAGTCAGCTAGGAAACTAATAAAACCTCTAAGTTTAATGATATTGTGGTAGGATTACAAACTATATCATGGATGGGGCAAGCCTGTAAGGAACAGGCACATGCTTTTAACGCTTCCGCAGTCACATCAGCACAGTATTCAGATGTGCTTGTCTGAGTGGGGAGGAACAGCGCTTCACTGTTGCGGCGGCTTGATGGCTAGAGAAAGGGATCGCAGCAGCAGAGGCCAATGTCTTCACTTTCTCCAGGGCTGTCATTTCCAGTACAGATAGGTGTGCTGTTTCTTCCCACAGACCCTAGTTGGTTTATGTAGACTTAAATGCCAGAGACGTCTTCAGTACCCATCAGAATCCCAATGTCACATCAGTGTAAAAAGAGCCACACGGGGAGGAGATCCTGAACATGTGCGCCTGAAATCTGGGAAGCCACAGAGTAACAAAATTTTGCTACTTGGCAGGCAACCAGCTCACCAAGTGATGACATGTGACAGTTACCCTATGCAAGTAGTCATCTGCATTCTCATTACCTTGGTTAATTTAGGATTCTGAAGTGGATGAAAGCATAAACTGGAGTGATGATTCTAATGGTCATGAGAAAGGAACCAGATGATTATGCTGAATTTTATTATTGGGTAGTGTTAATTTTAAAAGAGCTCAGGGTAGAATTATGGGCCTCCCCTCAATGGAAATAGATCTTCTGATTGAAGAGCATTTGGAGTGCCACTTCTGTCTTACTACTCCCACGATTTATTAATCTGAAATCAAAGTTCGTGAACCTGGCCATAGAGAGAGAGTGTTTAGAGAAAATGAACCAAGGGGGCAGTGGAGAAAGAGAACATACTACTGTAAAGAGTTCAGTGCTTTTTCCCAGAGCAATAATAGAACATGCTTTTAAAAAGTATGTTAAGATGCTCTGGCAAGCCACTGGTTTGTGCTGCCTTCATTTTTTGAGAAATAAACGCACAAGAGTAAAGGGCTAATAACAGTGGCTTGGAAAAGGTACATGATCTTGATGTGTACTTTTATCATAGTGCCTATTACATCACTGCCAATGCAAAACACAATTCCACCCTGTCCAACAAACTCATAAAGCTTTCCTTTGCTCCACTTTAAAAGGAAGGGGATCTTGAATAATTGTGGGTGGGCAAGAGAGAGGGTCTCTAAATGGCATGTGCTTACTCTTTGGGCTACATGAGCATTTGCAAAAGACAAAAACACCAAGGCTACCCTGCATTTCCTTTGCCCAAGATGGCAGGATTATAAGAAATATGTTTACATCACAATACTTATAAATTCCTATTGTGATAAGCAGACTTCAAAAATCAACAATTAAAATGCATTTCGAATCCGAGAAGAAAAAACTGTATTCCACAAAGTATTGTCAGGAAATTAAATTTTTCATACCTGATACTTTTGCTCCCGTGAGTTCCTTTTGTTGGTTTTGTGGATCAAACCTTTGCCAGGAATACTGAGGTTTAGGGGATCCTTCCTGAGAATTGCAGGTCAGGTTAATGTTGTGTCCATATGATGTAGTTCCTATAATTTTGCACTCTGGTATGGATGGAGCCACTAGATCAGGTGAGAAAAGTAAAAACTAAGTTGCTTTGACAATGTAAAGATGAAAACTTTAGTGTTGCGGTGCTCCCAATGCAGTTTCACCATCATAGCCACTGTGCAATCCCACATGGCTACTGTGCATGCTCAGACCTGCTATGGAAAATTCTATAGCACTTTATAACGTGAGGGCACTCCCCTCCCCTTTTCATGCCTCTTTCCTAACCTTTTTGGCTCAAGGGTGGGGGGGAAGCACCTGTCCCTCAGTTCTCTGCAGGTCAGGTTTATCTGAAACTCAGGTATAGTGTGTCTCGGAAAGGAAAAGGGGAAAATACATATTGTTTTCTTGTACCTGCTGTTGTTTGCTCCTTCTCCCTTGCAATAAGGAGAAAGCTTGGAGCATTATCTTTCTGAAATAGCTCAGAAAACTCTATTTAAGAACTGTATCAGTTGTGGCCAGAGGTCATTTCGGGGGGGAACGCGGGGGAACACAGTTCCCCCGGGTGAGGTGCAGGGGGCGGGGCACATGACGAAGCCCCGCCCCCTGCTTCCGGCCACCCCGCTTCCAGCCCTCATTCAGCCAGGAAGAGGCAGGAGAAGAGGGAGGGTAAGTTGCTTCCTCCCCGCCTCTCCCCACCCCTGCCTGCCTGGGGCCAGGGAGGGCCTTGGCGGGGCTTCCTCGCACTCCCGCTAGCCTTGCAGGTCCACCTCCGGGCCCCTGATGTCAGGGGGTGTGGCATATGCTAATGAGTTATGCTAATGAGTTCCCCTAGCTCTTTTTCTACAAAATGACCCCTGGTTGTGGCTTTGAAGTCTTTCAGTCTGATGACCATTTGTCATGTTTACTATGTCTCAGGGAGGAGCATGACATGTAGGGGGGAGGAGGGGAGAAATCGGCCCTAGAAAAAGGCCACCCCCCCCCAGAGGAGAGAGGTAGCACCCATCTGGCAAGCCCTGAGCAGGAGATGCCCGGCTGAGTTTAGTGGTCTGGCAGGATGAGGCCAGGTGGGCCATGGTGATGACAGGCTGGATGAGTGAGTCCCTCACCATGGTGACCCCTCCTTCTCTGAGCCTCTCGCTCATACCTGCCCTTCTCTAGTTAGAGGAGCCCCAGTGCGGGGCAGCCCCCATGCCATCGGCCCCCTGCAGGGCTTTTTCGATTGGCCTTAATTGCCAGTCTGTCCCAATGATGTGTTGATACGTTCTGTCTTCTGCCTTCACCCTGAGAGCCTGCCACAACAAGACCCCACAGGTCAAGGCAAACTTGTGGGAGACCTTCAAGCCCTCCAACATATAGAGCCACACCCAAAAGGCAAGCCAGATTAGTCTCTGTTGTTCCATAAGATATGAGGTTAGTTCCAACACCACCTTTGGTTCCAGTCTCGATTCCAGTCCCCACTCTGACACCATCAGATAAGCTAGCATCCAGCCCCCTGCCAAAAAGGCCAGGCACAAAGAAAACAGGAGAAGGACATTGTAAATGGCTTCAGGCAAAAGCAGGCACCAGTCCTCCCTGCTTCTTGGAGTCATGCTGCTGACTCCCACTGCCCTAGAGACCTTAAGAAAAGTAATCTTTCTTCCAAAAATACCATCCCAACGTTAGAACTCTTCACAGAGGGTTTGCTCAGTCCTACGAAGCTCAGAAAAGTTTGTTGAGATTCCTGCATATCTGGTACATCGTATCCCTCCCTGTCCTAGCCCTGAAGGGCATTTCCTTCTGAATACCTTCCATGGATGAAGAGACCAAAATACTACTGGGAATCCCATTCTTTGCTGGATCAATGGAGTATTTGCACTATTGCTATGACTAGTCCTACACTTCCTGCAGCTTCTTCTACCCAGCTAAATGTCACTGATACTATTAGTGCAATCTCTAGAAAGGGAGGTGACCTGTTCCGCACCTCCAGCATCTGATCCAGTCTTTAGTGCTCTCCACACAGACTACATGGATGGGGTCACTTTCTCCATCATGAAAAGTCTTCCAGACATCACCAAGGGTCCATGGCTGCTTCAGTTCCTGCCTCACTAAAGAAGAGAGACTTTAAAAGATCCAGATGGATGCCCCTTCCTCTTCAGGCAGCTGGCATCAAATTCCACTCTTGTGGAAGTGCTCCAGGGGCAGCAGAGGGGTTCCCATCATTCACTCCAGTGGATGGGGGGCCCCCCACAAGTTGAACACGGTTGGCTGCAAAGTCTGTTCCTCATCAGCCCTTAACTTTAAGGTGTGCAATACAAAGCAATCATGGGACATTATCATCTGTTACCATGGGGAAATGTAGATTAGCTAAAGCCCTGCAATCAGAGGTCTCCAAACTGTCTAAATAGCAGATTAACACATTAACACTTATTGTTCTGCATGTAAACTTGCTACTGCTGTCTCTTCTTTTTGGTGTTTTTTTCTTCATATGTGTGTATGTACATTTGAGTGTGTGTTCACCTGGAAGTCATGGCGACCTCTGGTGACTGACCTCTACTGTGAGCCTGGAGATTATTCAGAGAAGTGGCTGAGTAAAGCCTGCCCTGCCTCCTGCCTCTGGTATTCCAAGGAAGTCTCCCATCCAAGTACTTGCCAGAGTAGACCCTGCTTAGCTCCCAAGATCTGACGAGACCAGGCTTGCCTGGGCTATCCAAGGTCGGGGTGCTACTACTGTCTCTTTGAGGCACACTTGGTTGCATTCAACCATGTTGCCTAGCAAAACAAAGGCTGGAACAGAGGATCAGAGCTCTTTGGTTCTCAAACTGATGATGCTCTTGAGAAAATCTGCAAAAATAAATACATGGCTAGATCTTTGGGGGTCACACCCTCTCAGAAACCCCCTTATAAACCAAAGGGGTATTCCAGACCCTAAACCCCTTACTAAAACAGGTCATGGGAAACCATACTTTGAACCTGTTTTCTGCCCTCCCTAAGCATCTTCATATATGCACTCATGGTCTGCCTAGGAGCCAGCCTTGCTGGGAGGGCAGGGCAAAAATCTAATTAAATAAATAGGAGGCAGCTCCACTGCCAGAAGAAAAAGACCATGTCCCAGTCTCTTAACTATGTCCTCTCATAAGCAAGGTTTTTGACAGCCTACTCCAGTTTCTTCTGTTTCCATGGCAATTGCCCCATTCTCATGGGAAGCCATTATCTCAGGCTGTTGGGCCCTGGCTATCATATCAGAAGACTATGCACTAGAATTTAGGTCTCATCTACCTGACCTTCCTCTTTCATCCAACCCCCATACTCCTTCCTATTCCATTGCTGAGAGGCTTCCACATTTCTACAGAAGGGAACAGTAGAACTGGTGCTTGTGATGAAATAACACCAGAAATTCTACTCAAGATATTTCCTAACTAACAAATCAAAGCCTTGCTTCAGGTAAATAAATTCAGGATGATTTCTATAAGCAACTTCCTGCCACTATTGCACTGAAGGTATGGTTCGTAACCTGGACCTGTTGGATGTGTATTTTCATATCAAAATAGTGCATTCTCAGTTCTTTTGATTCCAGTTCGGCACATCATTTCTGCAATCCAACATCCTGCCCTTTGGCCTGGCAGTTGCACCCAGCATCTCTGCAAAGGTCATATTGGTAGTAGTTGCCTATCTAAGAAAACAGGGTTGCAAGATCTTCCTGTACCTGGATGACTGGCTGATCGGTTATGGGCTATTTTCTCAACTGCTTGTGATTCTCAGTAACCAGAAGGCATGGGGGAGGGAAGGCAGCATGGTATAGCCTAATCTCGTCAGATCTCAGAAGCTAAGCAGGGTTGGTATTTGGATGAGAGACTGACAAGGAAGACTCTGTAGAGGAAGGCAATGGCAAACCACCTCTGCTTCTCATTTGCCTTGAACGTCTCTTGCTGGGGTGACCATAAGTCAGTTGTAACTTGACAGCACTTACATACATACATAACCTGAAGGTGTTACACCTTCAGGTCACCCTAGAAAAACTGAATGAACAACCCTCAATGGGTCCTTTTCATAGGGCAAGTGCTTGATTCAATCAATGCCTTTTCATAGGGCAAGTGCTTGATTCAATCAATGCCAGGGTTTTTTCATCCTTTGAAAAGGATAAAGGGTGTTTGCTTGTTAATAAGGAATTTTCTACTCTGTAATTTCCATCCAGCCCTGTGAATACAGAGGCTGTTGGTTCTCGTGGCCTCCATGTAGTATCCTGTACTACTCTGGATAAGATTGCTTCAGACTTGATTTCTCAGAGTTTTCAACTCTTACTGCCAGAGCCAAAGCAAGATATTGAGTATCTTCAGATTGACAATTCACTCTCTAGCTTGGTGGATGATAGAAATGAACTTGATAGAGAGTACCCTCTTCAGGATCTCTCTCCCAGACTTAACACCAGCTACTATTATGCCTCCCTCAAAGGGTGGAGTGGGGACATTGCAACCATCTTATAGCCAGTGGCACCTGATTCCCTCAGGAAATTTAACTGCACATAAACAGTTCAGAGCAGAATGTTATGCACTGTTAGCCTTTTGTGCTCAAGTTGAAAAGAAAAACCATTCAGCCAGCATTGGAGGATATGACGGCCATATTTTATTTAAACAAACACCCCTTTGTCAAGAAGACATTCCAATTTTGGAAGCACTGATTATTGCATGGTCCAGGCCATCCACATTCCAGATTCCCGGAATCACTTGGCAGATCCCCTCAGCAAGGGTCCAGTAGAAGCTCCTGATTGGGTGACTGGATTTTTGTTTCTCCACCTAGTTTCTGAAATATGAGGTTTTCTCTCTCATAGCATGGGTCCCCTGCAAGAGGGGGGGAGCTTACTCATGTCACCTTAATAACTCATTTTGCACCTGAGCAAAGTTAGTTTGCCAGGTTACTCTCAGTGACACGGGATGGGGGGAGTTTTACATGTTTCCCCATGATAGCACCCTCTTCTCACGGTACAGTTTATCACCACAGTTTATAGCCAGCCTGCACCTCACTGCATGGCATATTCTGAATTACTTTGAGGTGTTTTTTTTTAAAGATCCAGTCAAAGAAGTTCCTGATAGTACCAAAAAAAACCCCATCTGCTTAGAAATCTTATAGACTTCAGTGGAACAAGTTTGTCTCCTTGGCCTCATTGAAAGGCCTGAACTATAAAATGTGTCTTCTGGGATTAGTTTTGAGTGTTCCCTTCATCTAGCTCATGAGGGCTTGTTCTGCATCTTACTAAAGGTCCACTTGGCTGCTATAGTGATATTTTATACACTTATTGGGAGAAAATTGGTATTTGCCAGGTAAGAATCCAAGATCTTTATGAAAAGTTTACATAAGCCTGATGATATTTCGTCAAGCTTCCCAGTGGAGTCTCTCCCTTGTTCTTTCTAAGCACATGACCAATCCTTTGAGCTGATGGCTACTTGTTACCTCTGCCTTTTAACCATCTAAATAGTCTTCTTCATATTTATTAAACCAGCCTGCTGGTTTAGCAGACTTCAAGCCTTTAAGCATGACCCACCCTTTTAAAAGATCCAGTTTTCCCCTAAGGTAGTCTCCACCTTCCACCAAGTTGTGGTCTCTATTTTTGTCCTGTTGAAAAGGACAAAGTTGAGCACTGGTTGCACTCAGTGTACTATGAGCACTTCTTTTTTATTTAAACAGAATGAAAGAATTAGGAAGGGTCCACATCTTTTTATTGCTTATGGTGGTACAAAGAAGGGACACAAGGTCTCTTCTGAAAAGCAGTGTTGTGGTCCTCCTCCTTGACTTTTGTCAATCATTATGCCACGGACAGCTATGCTGCAAAGGAAGCAGAGGTTAGAAAAGTGGTGTTACAGTGTCTGTTCATCTGAGAGCTTCACACCCTACCATACAAGTGTGGTAAAGTCATTCACTATTCTTCCATGTGGGACCGCACAGTGACTATGATGATAGAAAATATGGTTGCACTTAGGTGTAACTGATGCTCATCACCTGTACAGTCACACATCTCTGCCTCCATCCACACGGTGAGATCTCTGGCTCTGGATTTCCTGGTTTCCCACAGAAGCTTTGAGGAACTGAGAGATGGGTGCCCCCCCCCCTTTCCCGGTCATGTGCTGAGAAGGTGGCTTGAGGGGAGAGTGCAGTGGCCTGCATACATGTGGTACCCATATAGGATTGCACAGATGATCACTCAATAAACATCAGTTACAGATAAGCCCAACCATGTTTTCTGCCTTTATAATGCTATCATAACTGGTTGTGGCCTGTTACAGTATTTGCCCTACCCCATAATTTATATAATGTATCTTCTTTTTGTTAATGTCTATAATCATTTCATATTCTTAAATTGGGTAAAAGATCAAGCTGTTGTCATTGCTTTCTCTCCCTTAATGAAGACTGTCCTGCCTCCGAGGTCACCTACAGTACAAATTTACATATTCCTCTAGAATAATAGCACCGTTGTCTCTTTTTGCAATAGGACAGAGAATCACTGCACTTTTCTGGAATGGAGTACTTCCTCTTCATTACAATCACTGCTTTCTGCTCCTGTGAAATTAAGCAAGTTATGGAGCTGGTAATGCCTTACCAAGGACCACAAGATCCATTTGTGCACTTTTCACTGGGGGATCATGGCGCATGCGAACCGAACATTCATAAGTTCCATTGTCATCCATAGTCACATCACTGAGGGTGATGGTGAGATCATTGTTACTTGGATTGCCAGAGAGGTTCACGCGATTCTTGTAAGTTGCTCCTAAAAATGGTGGTTCTTTTCCACCATCAAAGTACCAGTTAACAAATTCTTCCTGGAGAAGGAATAAAGGAGTCAATTCAAAAGACTTGCATCTCTTTTTTTGCATTTATGTATGTGTGCACGCGCCTGTGCCTGGAAGTCATCTCTGGCACCTCTGGCAACTCCTACTGGGGCATGGAGGATATTCAGAGAAGTGGCTTGATGGCCTGCCTCTCGCCTCCCAGCCCTGGTTTTCTCTGGAAGTCTCCCATTCAAATACTTGCCAGGATCGGCCCTGCTTAGCTTCCAAGATCTGATGAGACTGGGCTTGCCTGGGCTATGTAGGTCAAGGAGAAAGATTTGCATTTTTACTCAGAGGTAAATCCCATTATATTCAAGTGACTTTACTAACTGCCGCAAAAGTACAGAAATGCAGTCTTAATTTGTGTTGCAAAAATCTTTGGCTTATCACTATTGGATGATAACTATATATTGGGGTGTACACTGAGAAAAAATTCACTATAATTTTGGATCTGGGAGTTGAGGGGGGGAAGGAACCCTTTACTGTGATTTCTGGGTTTTGGATAGGACATTACCAGTTTGGGTTTCAAAATCCATGTTTATTGTGGGGTTCCAGACCATTATTTTCAATGGGGAGCCAATTCAAGGATCTAGGGCAGTTGTTTTTAGAGATAATGGCACCAGATTAGCACAGAACATCGTCCTGCCTCGAATCTAAAGACTTCCCAAATTTCAAGCAGAATGGACAAAGGGGGTTGATTGTGCAGACCCCCAAAGCAGATGCCTTTTGGTGCAGGTACACTTCTCTCTACTGATTCCTATCCGGGGGGAAATGGCACCAGGTACCAGCATTTATTCCTGTCTGTATCTGTTTGGGGTTTTTGTTTTTTTTACATAAACATATGGTGACTGACTGACAATAAAAAACTCCACTGAAAACTCTGTGTTTGCTATCCTTCCATGTTGCGATCTGTTTTTTTTCCCTTTAAAAAGTTAAAGAAGCCTTCCTTCACACACACAAAAAAAACCCTTCCACCCGCTTCACCCTATCTCTGTCCCATCTCTACGATCTTTGAAAATAGTTTATAGTAAAAAAAAAAAAAAAAGACTATGTGCATATGTGATTGCATGTGATGAATCAGTCATCCAGTTGCTGTGAGACACATGTCTACATGCTGGACATCTACTCTAGGGATTCCTTAATTTGTAATTAGAACTATTACTATTTAAGGAGTTCCTGGAGGAGGAGGAGATGGTGGCAGTTGGGAGGCTGGACTATGGGGGATTCCCAGAGCTAAGCTACATGATATGTTTCTTATGAGTTGTGTCTGGGTGCACTGCTTTGACCAGAGTCATACATCAGTTCCAAGAATGTTGTTTCAAAGTCATAGAAGCTAGTTTTACTGATAAGGGGCAACACAGATGGAGAGGGGAGTTCTTGCCCCCCCCCAACCCTTTTCCTTATTCTGAAGACCCCTCAGTGGAAATTTATTTGCATAAATGTGAAGCAGTACATAGAATACTCTGAGCACTCACAGCACAGCAAAGACCCCTCCATGGAAATTCATTCTCTGGGGCTTGTCTCCAAATAAGATTGGCTGTGAGCACTCTCCTCCTGACCCCTTCCAAGGATCTGATTGGAAGGGAGAAATGCCACTGCCCAGGGAAATCCAGGGAATCAAAAGCAAGATGCCTGATGACAAGCACCCAAACATGAAAAACAGCACAAGTTTTGGGTTTTTTTAGGGTGGGAGTGTTCATAATGCCTAAGAATCCTGGATTTGTATTACAGTTGTGGAAAGTTACGGTATCAACCTAAAACAGTGATTTTTGTGTATATTTTTGCTCAAGAATTTCATAATGCTCACTCCTAAAATGTATTTTAAAGTGAGGGAGGTCCTACCCAAACCTTTTTGCTTCCACAACTGATACCTTGCCACAACCTGACAAAGACCAATGAAACATGTAAAAGGCTGAAATATTTCAAAAACAGGATCTATTTCAGTTGGTTAACGGTACAGGCTGTTAATCAACATAACTTTCCAGGCAAAGGCACTTTCATTTTTACTATCATTTGAATACTATTACAAAATCACAATCAAAATAAATATTAAAAATAGCTGTAGCATCAAAGTGAAATGCTTAATTCCCCCCGACCCCAACCCCCAATAATTATCTTTTGATTCAGAAACACCATGGTGGATATTAAGAGAACAACAACAAAATTATTCTATAAACCCAAAGTACAAAAGGATACGTTAGGAGATGTTGGACCTTTGCTTAATATCTATATATCTAATAGCCAAGGCGCCCCCTGCGTGCGGATATCTTTTTTTTTTGAGCCCCCGGAGGGGATTTTTTATTATTTTTTTTATCAAACTACAAAACTACTACAGAAAAAAGGGAAGGGGGGAAAGGGAAGGGGGGATTACATATATAGAATAAAGCAAAAGAACCCACTACTAACTAAAAACCCAAGAGAGGAGATTGTCACTAGCTTAGGTACAGCAAATCTTCACTTCACTTAGATTATTATAAACTGAGTCAAACATTTGTATTACTTTCTTTTTCTTTAACGCTTAAATTTAACTGTCTAGAAACAGTACCCCCCAATCATCCCCTTTCAGAGTTCTCAAAGGCACAATTCAGAGTCCTTCAGCCTTCACTTCTCCTTTCCTCATCTCTTCCGCAGCTTATAAGGACTTTTTGGAGCGGCTGCCCCTTGCTCTGTCAGAGAGTCCTCCCCAGAAGAACCCAAGTCCAGCTCGCCACTAGACTTGCTGTCCTCTTCTTTTTTCCCGTCCTCTGGTCTTCCCAGCTGAACCCTTAGGAATTCTTGAGCTTTCAGAACAGAGTCAATCTTTTCTTTTTTATCCTTGATCTTAAAAGTAATGCCTTCTGGAAACAGCCATTTATATCCAATTGAGTTTGTCTGAAGAAAAAGCACAAGTTCTTTGTACTTACTTCTCCATTGTCTTACTTCAAATGGAATATCCTTTAGCATTCTGATGGTATTTTCCCCCACTTTCAGGGGTATTCCAGCAACTGCTTTCAGGATTGCATCCCTCACATGCCTCTTCGAGAATCTTACGACAATTTCCCCAGGCAGATTATTTTTCTTTATATAGCCTGAATATGATCTGTAAACCACATCCATCTCGCTCAGCAGCAATTCCGCCTTCATTTCTGTCACTGGGGCTAGTAATTCCATCATCACTTCTTTAAGATTCTCCCCCCTGTTCTCTGGCATGCCCTGGGAGCAAAGAATCATGTTGTCCTTTTCCATTTCCACTTACAGCAGTTGATCTTCCATGGAGATTTGTTTCCTTTCCAGTTTTTGCACTTTTTTCTTCACCTTCTGAGTAGTTGCAGCCATGTCCTTTACCTTCTCAGTATCTTGCTTCATTATTTGTATCATATCGTTTATCTGGGTTTGTTGTGCAGTAATACTTTGAGTCACTATAGACATCTGTTCCTTGAAGTTATTCAGCTGTTCCAGCAGAGGGCGCATATATTCCGCTATAGACTTTGCCACCTCGCTGATAGCTTCCGGTTTCGGGCTCTCAGACCCTTTCGCTTTCAAAAGTTTTTTTCTGTCCTTCTTCCCCGCCATCTTTTTTGCTTGTTTACTTTCGCAATTTTTTGAAAAGTCTCTGAATGTGCGCTTGACCACTTAGATTCGCTTTGGTAAGTACTTCTAGGCAGTTTCCTTCATGTTTTCTTCCGCTACCCCCCTCAATCACTCAAAAAGTTCATGTGCATGGGAGGCGTCCCGTGCATGGGAGGCGTCCCTCCCACGCTCGCCTCTTTCCCGTTCGGTGGGGTGGGGTGCTATTTTTTTCCCTTCGAAGAACGCTTCAAAGCTGACTCACGTTCATAATTGGTCATTCGACCTCGTTTTCAACTTTCATTTCTGCTGCTGGATCTCCCACGCTTGCCCCGGTCAGCGTCACTAAATCCATTCGGTCTCACAGAACGGAGAACCGTCGGAACGAAGAGGTGCCTCAATTCTCCGGCATTTCGCCCTCGAAGAGGCAACCTCTTGTAAGTTCCATGGCCAGGGTCCCTTTGCCAGGCCCCTGGGGGGGTAAGCAAGCCTGCGCACCCCCTCCTACGGCTGGAGCGCAGCTTCACCCCTGGGAGGTCTGGGAGGTGAGTCTGCTAGTGCACTGCCATAAACTGGAAGTCGCATGCAGATATCTAAATCCGCACATCGGGGGCACCTGGGGGGCAGGGAGATTTTCCTGCGCACGTGGGGCAATGCCCAAGTGTGCAGAAAAATCTGAAAACTGTAAAAAATATAGGGGGGAATAATTAAATCCCAAAAAAGTAACAGAGCGCCCCCTGCACATGCGCAGGGAATGCTTTTAGAACGGCTTTGCCGCCACCACCAGAGAAGGGGAGGGAGTGGGGGGAGAAGGCTTGGCCGGCTGGCGGCTGTAAGCCGCACATCCCTCGCCACCGCCGCCATCGCTGCCTGGGAGGAGGGAGAAAGTTTGGTGGGCCGAGCTCTGGCTTCGCCGCCATCAGGGGGTAAGGGGGGGAGAAAGCATGGCGGGTCAGTGAGGCCTCGCCATTGCCGCCACGGGGGGGAGGGAGAAAGTTCAG